GATTACAGTAATGCGTTACAAGTAACGCGTTACTGCCCATCTCTGCTCAGCAGACGGAGTGAGATAACTTCTCTCCTGTTGAATTGAACTCTCTGCTTCTCTGTTTTGATGTTGAATTTATTAGAAAATCCAAAAACCTTGGGAAAAGGAAATCAACCGCCTAAAAAACAAAAAAAAGGAAATCAATTAAAGAGTGTTTGTAGGTGTGTTCAGTAATATTTGACATACAGAGCAGGGGTATACATCACTACAGCCTTTCATTCATCCTCGTTACGCTTGTGCAGACTCACCTCCACCTGTTTTTCGCAGACACGCCCTGCCTCTGTTCACCTCCCTGCTCAATGTGGTGTGCGCCTACGACCCCGTGGGCTACGGCATCCCGTACAACCACCTGCTGTTCTCAGACTACCGGGAGCAGCTGGTGGAGCAGGCGGTCCAGATCCTTATCGTCACCCTGGAGCACGAGGCTGGCTCGGCCGCCAGCGCCGCCCTCCAGGCCCTGGACCCCTCAACATGCCCCTCAGCTGAGGAGGAGCAAGAGGTACATACAGTGAGTAATTAATCCACATATATGCAAGTATATTTTTTTAGTTTATGATTTAAAATATAAACGCTGATGTTGATTTATTTTTCAGCCTGGTGGACCCGACAACCTGTTTGTGAATTATCTCTCCAGGATCCACAGAGAGGAGGTACTGAAACATGCAGCCGTTCAGCAGCTAACAGCACGATCCCGTGGGATGTTTATGAGTGTGTGTTCTCTTTGTTTGTTCATCAGGACTTGAGCTTTGTCCTTAAAGGTCTGGCTCGGCTGCTCAACAACCCTCTCATCCAGACTTATCTGCCCCGATCCACCAAGAAGATCCAGTTCCACCAGGAGCTGCTGATCCTCTTCTGGAAATTCTGCGACTTCAACAAGGTGCGAGCACGAAATGCAACAGGAAGCCAAGGGATTCACAGGAAATGAGAATATTTCATCAACAAAAACAGCTGCTTATGTGCAACCGCGGTGGTCAGGTCCTAGTGAACTGAATGTGGATTGGACAGTGTGTTTGTATGGGACT